TTTAAATATTCATTATATAGATTTATGGTAATGTCCAGAAAAAAAGTCTATGCAGGAATTGGTATGTTAGAATTATTAATTAAACTTGTTGGGGTCCATTGTTTATGAATCTAACTAAAAATCATCAGTGAATCTTGGGGAGAGAATAGGATGGCAATTGCTGAGGAAGTCTTATTCTCCCTCAAATATCAACATGTTGTGGTGCCATACCACAACATGGTATACTCATATGGTATACTCTGTTTCTAATCTGGAAATATGTGTTTGACCCCAAAGTAAATTACTAATGAACAAGTATGAAGTGACAGTGGTTAGCCATCTTTGTGCCAGCTCTTAATATACACAATCTCAACACTGATGGTTGTTAGGACATTCATCTGAAAAGAGGAGATTAGCTTGAATGGAGAACAAAGCAACTTTCAAGTTATAACTACATTCAGCTTTTCAGTGGAACAATCCTTTTGAGGTGGTTTCAGAAAAGGAGAAAAGAGAGGGAATAGCAGCAAAGACCTCATAAAATAAAAGTGTTAGAATGGAGATTGAGCTGGTCATTTCAGCAATCAATGGTTCCAGCAGTATTTCCTGCATACAATCAATCTCATATAATTCTATCAGTTTTCTCTCCCCCACGTCCAGATCTTTCCCAGTTGTTATTTTTTCACAACATTAAAAGGGTTTCGTCATATATTTATTAAATGTTTGAGTGTACAAATAAGCAAATAGATGAGCTGAAGTCACCCTCTCTTCTGCCCAAGTTGTGTGTTCTAGTTCGGTCACCACAGAGGGGTTTGTGTGGCCATACGTATTATTTATTCTTTTGATTATTTGAGAGCAGGGTGAGGTTGGCAGCATTTTGTTTTCCATTTCTGCTTTGACAGCACCAGGCATTATTTGATGCCCATTCTTATTATGCCAGTCAGACACTTTGTGTTTACTGGCTTCTTGGGGGTGTTGCTGGTTCATAAAGGCAGGACTGGATTTCTTGGTCACTTGCAGTTACCAGTTGAAGATGAAAGTCACTTGTAAAAATCACTCAATCTTTAAACTACACCAGACCCTTCCCTCCCCTTATTACCCTATCAACCATATTAATTTTGAACACAGAATTAATGCTTTTTCAAAAAGCTTGTGTTTAGAAATAGCCTAACAGACCACAAGCATTGAGAACCTCCATGTCTATGACTTGATGTCAGGCAGCTGAACAGGTAGATAAACACCATTCCAAAAACGATAGGTGTCATTTTTTTTCCTGCTGGCAGACATCATTGGTAGGAAGGGAATTCACTAATTGCTTTCCTTAAATTATACTGCACAAAATAAGAATATCAGAATATGTTCTCTTAACAGAATATAGATCGGCAATGTGGACAGTACTATCTATGCCAGCATACCTTTCTGCCATTTCATTGACAGACGGGCAGCAGTTTAACATCAGCATCTGGTTTGATCCTTAGAAGCTCTTTAGACCACCTGCCTATCTGTTTCTCCAGTCTTTAGCCTGCTGTACACATTTAAATGCCTTTACTTTTTAAATTCTATACAGCTATTTATAGCACAACAATCTACAGCCTGTCTACCGTATATTTTTCTAAGCTGGGGCGTGTGGAGAATGCCAGCCACTATTCACTCTTGCTGTCAGCAGGATAGTTAATAACTGAGTATCTTTTGAGCCCATAGTTCCTACTCCTCACTGTACTGGGCTGTGAAGTGACTACAACTTTTCATTCTTTCTCCATAAAAGTAAAATAAAATGGCTTGCAAATGAGAGATGGAAAAAGGAAAGTTGATTATGAAACATGAAAATAAACAGACTGTTATTTCAATAATTCCATGGCTATGATGATGTAATAGTGAACTTACTTCTTAAAGTCTTTCTTGGTAACTGCAGTTATGGTGATATGATAAAATTGGATATTGTGTAATGCACCCTCAAATACCAGGACTTTGGAAGCATTACAAGAAAATCTAAACCTATAAAAGGTGGAGAAGACAAGACTGTTGGCATACGCTCCATCTCCCTGGATCCAGAAAGAAATGAGAGCTGAAACTGAGCACAGGAGCTGGGAGTAAAACGGGTGGTAAGGAATCCCATGTAGTGGAAAAAGATTACCCCCTTTACAGAAGTGCAGCACATGTTCTCACTGGGGGTGGGGAAAGCCTAAGGTAGGATAAGTGTACAAGAGAGGCCTGCAATTCCTGTCTATGTGGTGTTAGTATAATTTCTAAGTATCAAAGACAAAAAGAATAGGTGCCAGGCCAACATTTACCAAAGCTGTTTTATAGTACTGTTTCTGAAATCAGGTGATAGATGCCACTTGTTTTGTGCCAGCATCTTTTCTGTGAGAAGGCATTCCTAGTACCAGAACCCAAGGCAAAGTTATTAAGAGAAGTAAAAATAAAGTGCACAAACAAAAAAGTCAGTTTATTCAGATTGTTGCTTGGAAATGAGAAAGAAAAAAGCGGAGGAACTTAGAAATTTAAGAAGGAGAAGGAAGCTTTTCCATCCCAGTGTTACTACATACTCCAGAAATAAAATGGTCCCCTTTGTATTTTGTGGCCTGGTGCCTTTGGTCTCTACCAGGCAGAGCAGGACTTCAAGGAACCAAGCCTCCAGCACCAAGGGGTTCTCAGCCCCTTCCTCCATCACCATTTCATCACTGGATGTCCTTCCACCAGCCATGGCCTGACAACAGTTAGTTAACAAACCACCCACTTGGAATCTTGCACCAGGGGAGAGGTCAGACAGACTGGAGTAGGAGATGGGAGGATTGCCTGGAAAGGCTCTTCAATGTTGAGCTGTAAATGTCTTTCCAGGAATCCAAGGGGCTTTTGTTCTTGAGGTTGTCAGCCTAGTTGGGTTTCTCAGGTGAGATTTTCTTCACACACTCACACCTGCGCCCAGAGTTGAGGCATGAATTCCCACTGGCCTTGTTGCCAAAACTTGTTTACCTTTGAGGTAGAAGAGCTGTTCTCTCTCCTGTTCAACTCACTCTTGCCTCCTGTTCCTCACCAGAAAAAGGTGGTATATGAACTTGTGTCCCTTTTCCAAGACAAGCCAATCAGCTTATCATTTTTTTTCCCTGCTGCAAGCCCTTTGTGGATAAGAAGTGGTCCCCATGGATTGAGAATCTGCAAGGGCTGCCCCCCCCCCCCCCCCCCCGCAAGACCCGCCATGCCTGGGTTTGGGAGATGGTTTTAGTACCTGGATTGCAGCACTGAACGATATTCCATGATGTTACCCATAGACACAGGACTTTATAGGTAGGGCCAGAGTACTTTACCTTCAGCAATTGGGGAGATATCAGTATCCCCGTTAACCACTTTTTGAGCGTACACAAAGATGACAACTCTTTAGGTGGGTTCAAAACCTAATTCCCTCAGCAACTGGGGAAATATCCCCAATGGCCACTTTTTGAACTTGCACAGTAATAACCATTCTCTTGGGACCAGGATGGGCTGGGCAGCCTGGTGGTCACTCTTTTAGTGCCCTGTGTCCTCTGCCTTTTGTATGGGAAGTTGTCCATTCTTGTCAGGCCCAGACCAAGAAGTATACAGAACAATCCAACCGAAGTCCAATTCTTTTGTTCACACCTAATAGGCAGAATCTTGCCAGGCTAAACTAACTCTTACTCTGACAGATGTACCCCAGAATAATCTAGGGAGTGGATATCCTAACTCTCTTCCTTTATCTCTGATCCAGCTCCAGGCTACGGTGCCTCGTCTTGCCCATCCTTGGAATTCCCCTCCCTCCTGGAAAACTGCTGCTTCATTGTAGTCCATGACACCACCTCACCCTTCACAGGCACCATTCATCACAGTTCATGAGCAATTCAAAAGCCCAATCACATGTGACACAAACCACATAGCAACTTGCTTCTCTGCAGTGCCTCTTGGGTAATGTCATTTTTACTTCCCCTTTGGGCCAGCACAGTTTATCTCCTGCCCCACTTTAGTAAGTCTAAGTCTAACTCCTGCCTACTCTTATTCCTGGAAAGAGGGGGGGAGGGCTGGGGCACAAAAGTGAAAACAGACTTTGGGGGAAGTGCAATAGGGGCAAATTGGTCTCTCTGACGTTATTCAAAGCCACTTCCACTCAGGCTTCCAAGTGAGGACTATGGCAAACTAAGATATCTTCAAGAGAGCAGAGATAGCATTGCGGTGTAGACCAGTGACCTCGGCAACAAGCCTGGCCCAGGACTGTTCTTTGGGAGAGGTGGCACAATCACTTACTTAAAGCTCAAGAGGAGACCATGGGATTTGATGGTGCTTCCAGCTAACTTATAAGTATAGTGGTTGGGAGACAAAGAACAGAAATTTAGGTCTTAGGCACATTAGAACCTTTAAGAACTCTGGGCTCAATTAAAACCTCATTTTCTTAAACACATTTGGATATAATTTAAGGTTAGAGATATTTGGACCAGCAGAAGGGGGAAAAATCACTTCATGAGTCCCCTTCATTTCAAATTCATCAACTTGTGAAGGCCTTTACCTTTCCTCCTGGGGAAAATGCCACTTCTTCAACACAGGTGCTATCTGTGTTAATGGATAAGAACTCATTTCCCACTTCACATCCTTTAGGCTGCTGGGCTTGTCCAAAGGCATGATTTCTTGATTCTTTAAATTACAACCCGAAGTTTTGTCATCTGAATACAGACTAAAGGGGGCTAATACCCCTGGAAACAGGCGATAGATCACAAGCTGGGCTCTTATCAGTATTCTTAATATCCCTCGGCTTTGACAAAGCAAAGCAAGTGGTAATTGATAGAATGAAGGACATGGAGTTCCAAGAACTAAATAGGTTGCCTCTCCACAGTAGGGACAGAATCAAGCAGGGTGTGTGGGAATCAGCAGGATATCTAAATGATCTGATCTTCCCAAAACAAAGAATAGTTGTCTTCAGAGCCAGATTTAATATTCTCCCCTCAGCACTTCTCCAGGGTAGGTACAAGAGAACACCAATAGCAGAACGGGTATGCATATGTGGAAAGGGAGAAGTCGAAGATATCTCACATGTTTTATTGTACTGTGAGTTATACAGAATATGTAGGTCAATATACATTCTCCCCTTATTAGAGAGATTGCCAGGGAGGACAGATGACTTTTATGTAGGTGTTCTCCTCCAAGACTCTAATCCAGCTACCACGCGTGCAGTGGCAAAATTCTGTGTCGCTGCAATGTCCACAAGAAAAAAATTGGTTACCAAATTATAATATCAACTGGTGCCAATTTTTTGAGATCTATAACAATACATTTACCCACATACTTACATGCATGTAAATTAGGTTTGAGATCATGTATTTTATCACAGAGATGTTATTATTCATGAATAATGTTAGAATTATTTTTAATTTATTGTTTATCTATTGCTGGTCGATGACCATAATAAAGTTTTATTCTATTCTATTCTAAAGGGGGCTAATCCCTGCTTGGGAAAATAAGATGATATGCAATTTTCACTTTCAGATTGTCAAACAAGGGCTGGCCACATTGATTGAGGCAGACAAATCAAGGTCAGGGACATCTGGCAATTGGATTGGAAAGAAAATTGCACTAATTGGCAGATACAACTGTCCTCGATTTGCCTTTGTGACACTTTTAGAGGAAAAGGGGCAAGGATACTTTGCTCTCCCAAATCATGTAGACCCCAGCCTCTTTTTCTCTGGTTTGTCATCACTGAGGAAGAGATTGAAGGAGCCAAAGATCAAAACTAGCCATGGGCCCTCTTTCAAGAGTGGGCATGTAGGTAATCTAACCCTAAGCTATTCTTTCTTTTTCAGAGAAAGAAAAGGAAAGAAGGTGAATTTCCCTGAGAAGGTGGTTCCAACAGACTTTGGCCCCCACTCAGTCCTTTCAAATGGCTAGGATGGGAAGTTTCTTGTTTCCCTTTTGCCAACCCCCACTTTTTCTTTTGTGCTGTCATTTTAAGTTAGGTACTTACTTTATTGAACTTTAAGCATGCACTCCATGTCCAGGTGCCTTCGTCTAGCCCCCTTTGGCCTAAAAGGGCCCCTATCCCACTGATTAAGGAGAAAAGAGAAAGCCTTCCTGTCCAGGGACAGAGTACCCATTTCAATTAGTTATATATTAGATGATTCTCGTAGCCTTTTTTTCTTCAGGATGGTGATGCAACTGTTTTCCCGGGGTCTTAAGAATCCGTCTTGGGAGCAATTATCTTGTTGAATCTTCCAGGTTGTGGGTCCTGGTGGTACCCTGGACTTTTATTGAACATTAAAAATGATAACTGTTTGTTTCAAGGTATAAATCCAATGTTCTCTGCATACCAAAATGATGGTGCAAAGTCCAGCCCCTTAAGAAAAGTGCATTCAGAAACCTTAAGTTAAGAGAATGTTGCTTCCAAAATAATCACCCACTGTTCTCCAAATCAGCTGCGTTCAAGGTTGGGGCACTTGGCAATATTTCTGGAAAGACTCTTCTTCTATTTGGAAGATAATCCTTTCTCCTTGAGGGGCTCATAATAAGATGGATGCATAGTAACTTTCCCAATCACCATTTCTTCACTGGGTGTCCTTGTATCAGCTGTGGCCTGACAATTGGTGTCTACTTAACCATCCATCCATCTGGAATTTTGCACTGGGGACAGGGGAGAAGTCAGGCATTGAGACTGGAGTAGGAGGAGATGTTGATCCCTTCCCTCAGACACCATTTCTATACCTGGGGGATGGGCTGTCTAAACAATTTGGGGGAAATGGGAGAAGGTAGAAGTGGACCTTGGGGGAGAAGATTTTTAACCCAGGGGAGGGAGAAGCAACAGGAAGAGGTTTAGAGCAACTGCCCCTTAATTGTGCCAGGAAGAATTACACAAGTTAAGCAGGACTGCTTGGAAAGGCTCTGCAAATGTTACCTTGCCCTCCAAAACCATAAAAGTCTTCCCAGGATTGCAAAGGGTTTGCTAGGTTTGTCAGGCTCCCTAGTGAGAATTTCTCCCCCACCCCCCACCCACAATTATTTGAGGTACAACTTCCATTTTTCCAACTCTTCCTTACCTTGAAATGGCAGGACTGTCCCCATCACGAGAGCTTGATGTGCAACTCACTCCTGTGTTCTTGGGTCCTGACAGGAGGGAAAAGGTGAGATGTGGAAGAACATCCAGCTAGTTTATCTTCCCTCTTCCAAGACTAGCCAGTCTGTCTTTTTTTCCCTGAAGCGGTTTTGGGGCAGTAGAGGCTCTTGCAGACTCTTGTGGCATGTCATGGCTCCTTGCTTGAGGTTTAGAAAGCTTTGGTATCTGTCAGGTGGCACAGGAAGGTCTTCTCCCTGGTGCCTACAAAACAAGAACCTGGACACCTTTCGAAGATGTTCTGTGAGGAGAGGGGGACAGAGAAAAAGACCTGAGTGAAGGAGAGGGAATTGGGGCCCTTTCTCCCCTCCTTTCTGGTTCTTGGCAGCTGAGAGGGCCACACTTACCCTTAATAGTCTTCTTAACGAATGAAGGTGAATATACATGTCCCATGATAATATTGCAGGATCCAATCTGGATCAGTCACCAGGATCAGAGGTTTAGTCTTCCAAGCTTTCAGACTTGTGCTGGAGCCCATCCTCAGGAACATCCCTCTAGCAGTGTGTATGCCTTGGGCTATTCTATGTGTGGTATTTATATTGTGTCTGGTTGTGTGTGGCTTTTTAGTCATTGATTGGGGTGTTGATGGATGACTATTAAGAAGTTGGCTGTTGTTTTCTTGTGCTACCAAGCCCTCACCTCCTAAGTACTTGATAAGCTGATGGTAAATCAGCAGTCCTATGGGCCCATTTTCCAGGTTTCAATCACTTCTCTGGCTTTTTGTACCTGCCTGTCCAACAATCTTAGTAGCTCCTACACCTCAATGTATATCCTTGTTGATTGCAAGGTCAAGCAACCCAATGAGTTTGGGTCTCCTCATCTGACTACTTGTGTGTGTTCTTGCAATCTGATGGTTAGCTTCCTCCCCATCTGTCCGACATAATCATAGTCATAGTCACAGCCTTCTTAATGCCATAGCAGAGACCAGTTAGACTACAGGGAAAGTGGTGGTAGAATGAGAGGCCACAGGAGAAACCAGAAGGGGTTTCTATATGCTACCAAGCCAGGCCAGTAGGAGAGGGCACTGGCTGATTTTGTAAACAGGCATACAACCTCGTTCCCTAAGTAACTGGTTTTTCACCATGGTCACGTTCACATCTACCCAGAGATGGTGGTTGTCTCATGGGTAGAGTGGATGAGCAGTCCAGGAGTCTATTCTCTTGGTTGCCTATGACCTCTGCCTTTCATATGGGAAATTGTCTGTTCATTTAACAATGTAAAGGCACAATCACATGTAGCACAAAAAAACAGGGAAACTTTCATTTTTTTCCCTAACAGAATGAGGGTTTAAAATCCAAAACTGACAACTGAATATGGGTGTGTGCAAGAGGGGAGCAATTTCTTCAGTGTCATTCAAATTGACCTCCCCATATGCAGCCAGCCTGGAGGTCCTATTGGTCCTATAGAAAGCCCGAGAGCCATCAGTCATACATCACAGGTCCAGAGCAATGGCAGGAGTGGGGCTGTCATGACAAAAGCTGCCATCCTCTCTTCATAACTCAAAACCAGCTACATCTGGCCCTTTGGCTGCTCTGGCCTGTCTGCCTCTTTTCAAAAGAAGCATAACAAAAATAAAAATAAAAGACAGCTTTCCCAATTTGATAAGAGACATTTACAATATATGTTTGAAACTAATAAATCCTGCTTGAGAGCTCATTTGAGGAATGAACTCAGGATGAGCTTCTACATTGCAACTGAGGCTAGAAATCTACATTTATTGTATGCAGCTCAGTTTTCAACTCTACCTTAAATCTTGATTTACCTGTAATTTTAAGCTTCATTATTAGCTTCTTTAATAAGGGTCATATTTAGCAGGGCATCTGTGCCTCTTTTAGAAGTGTGGGAAATCAGGTCTGTAAGTTGAGTCATGGCAACTGGGTTTATTTTCTGGTTGGTTTATTTATTTATTTTATTTATTAATTTAATTTGTATACCGCCCTTCTCCCAGAAGGGACTCAGGGCGGTGAACAGCCAAAATTAAAAAACATACAAATGCAAAAGTTAAGATAATTAAAAGAATTAAATCATTGGCTACCCAATTTTAAAACCCCAAATCCATAAAATTTAAAATCCCAATTAAAAACCATTTAGGCTAGGCCGGCTTGATGAAATAAAAACGTCTTCAGGGCTTTACGGAAGGTCCGGAGGTCCGGGATCAATCGTATTCCAGGAGGCAGCTCATTCCACAGGGCGGGTGCCCCCACAGAGAAGGCTCGCCCCCTGGGGGCCGCCAGCCGACATTGCCTGACCGACGGCACCCCGAGGAGGCCCTCTCTGTGAGAGCGTATTGGCCGGTGGGAGGTTATCGGTAGCAGCAGGCGGTCTCGCAAATACCCTGGCCCTAAGCCATGGAGCGCTTTAAAGATGAGAACCAACACCTTAAAGCGCACCCGGAAGACCACCGGGAGCCAATGCAGCTCGCGCAGGAGAGGTGTTACGTGGGAGCGCCACGTCGCTCCCATAATCACCTGCGCGGCCGCATTCTGCACCAGCTGGAGCCTCCGGGTGCTCCTCAGGGGGAGCCCCATGTAGAGAGCGTTACAGTAGTCCAGGCGTGACGTAACCAAGGCATGAGTGACTGTGCACAAGGAGTCCCGATCCAGAAAGGGGCGCAACTGGCGTATCAGGCGAACCTGATAAAAAGCCCCCCTGGCCACGGCTGTCATATGCTCTTCTAAAGACAGCCGTGTGTCCAGGAGGACGCCCAAGTTGCGAGCCCCCTCTGTGGGGGTCAGTGACTCGCCCCCAATAGCCAGCGATGGCACCAGCTGGCTATACCGGGACGCCGGCATCCACATCCACTCGGTCTTGGAAGGGTTGAGCCGAAGCCTGTTCCTCCCCATCCAGACCCGCACGGCCTCCAGACACTGGGACATCACTTCGAGGGCATCATTGGGGTGGTCTGGGGTGGAAATGTACAGCTGAGTGTCATCAGCGTACAGATGGCATCGCACCCCAAAACCACGGATGATCTCACCCAGCGGCTTCACATAAATGTTGAACAGGAGCGGCGAGAGGACCGACCCTTGCGGCACCCCGCAAGCAAGGCGCCTCGAGGTCGACCTCTGCCCCCCTGCCAACACAGACTGCGACCGGTCAGAGAGATAGGAGGAGAACCACCGCAACACGGTGCCTCCCACCCCCAGTCCCTCCAGCCGGCGCAGCATGATACCATGGTCGATGGTATCAAAAGCCGCTGAGAGGTCTAACAGGACCAGAACAGAGGAACAACCCCTGTCCCGAGCCCTCCAGAGATCATCCACCAATGCGACCAATGCTGTCTCCGTGCTGTACCCAGGCCTGAAGCCGGACTGGCACGGATCTAGATAGACGGTTTCATCCAGGAACTGTGGGAGCTGTCGCGCAACCACACTCTCCACAACCTTCGCAACAAAGCGAAGGTTGGAGACCGGACGATAGTTTGCCAAAACGGCCGGGTCCAGAGAAGGCTTCTTGAGGAGGGGCCTCACCACCGCCTCTTTCAAGGCTGGAGGCAAGAAACCCTCTCTCAGAGAAGCATTTATGATCCTCTGGAGCCAGCCTCGTGTTACCTCCCGGGTGGCCAGTACCAGCCAGGAGGGGCACGGGTCCAATAAACATGTGGTTGCGTTTAATCTCCCCAGGATCCTGTCCACGTCCTCAGGAGTCACAGGGTCGAACTCATCCCAGGTAACATTCTCAAGACCAGCCTCAGTCACCCCGCCGGGATCTACCCAGTCAGAGTCCAAGCCTTCCCGAATCTGAGCGATTTTATCGTGCAGATACTGTGCAAAATCCTCAGACTGCCCTTGCAAGGGGTCCTCCCGTGCTCCCTGATGTAGGAGGGAGCGGGTCACCCTAAACAAGGCGGCTGGGCGGTTATCTGCCGATGCAATAAGAGCGGAAAAGTGGTTACGCTTTGCCGCTTTTATTGCCACTAGATAGGTCTTAATATGAGACCTAACTAGTGTTCGGTCGGATTCGGAGCGACTCGCCCTCCAACCACTCTCTAGGCGTCTTTTCCGGCGCTTCATCTCCCTCAGCTCCTCGGAAAACCAAGGGGCCGGGCAGGTTCGGCGTCGGGTCAGAGGCCGCAAAGGCACGACTCGGTCCAGAGCACCGGCGGCTGTCCTATCCCAGGCAGCCACCAGATCTTCAGCCGAGTCGTGTGCCAGAGTTTCAGGAACTGGCCCAAGTTTGAGATGTTCCGCTGTCCATTCATCCAAGCAGCTTCCTCAGCCTGAACAAGTTGGTTAGGGGAGTCTGATTAAGCAGAGTCGTTGGAATGTACCAATTCCTAAAAAAAAAAATAGGGGAATTCCTGCATCCATCTCAGGGTTTCATCAACAACTGTGTTTTGATGAAAACATCTCAAACGAACAAGAAAATAACTCCAGTTGCCATGAGTCAACTTCCAGACAATTCTATCTGGATGACTGAGAATCTTCCCTGATTGCCATGTCCTTTGGGGAAGAAACGCTGAGGTTGGTGTGAGAATACCCCTAAAAATGTTAGGAGTTAGTACATTCCAACGACTCTCTCCCTATGCAGATTCCACTCTGCAAAGGAATAATGTTTTCTCCCTCAAATTCAGGGACTAAACTCTTTGTATCCCCATACCACTCTGGTGCCTGAGTTTGATAGGCAACAGACAGTCTGGGGTTAAGGATTAACCATTCCTAACTCTGTCTTTCACCTGATTTTTATTTAAGTTGGAACAGGTTACTATATCTGTACTTCAGCATATCAAGGAGAAACAACAGCAACAACAAATTTTTTGTAAAGTTTGTAAAACTTTGCAAAGTTTTTTTGTAAAGCTTAAATTTATAACCTTAAATTTTATACCTTTAGCTGAGTTGTGTAGGGGAGACAAATTTCTAGCAAGGAGAAACCTATTGAAGGAGAAATTCAATCAGTTCAAGCTGGACTAGAAGACCTCCAAAGTCCCTTCCAGTTCTATTCTGATTCTAATTCAGTCTCTCACTGTCCTGAAGGGCAGGACCAACCCCAGGAAATGTGTCCACTCAGCTGCCTTTGCCTCCCAATTCCCTGCACAGACCTTTCCCTTTTGCACCCAGATGCCATGGCCAAAACAGAAGTCTCTTGCTGCCTTTGCTGTCTCTTTTGGACCCAGCTTCTCCAGCAAATGTTTCCTACACAAAACTCCCTGACCCTTTGGAAAGCTGTGCAGCCTTCAAAAAGCTTACCGAGTCTAAGGGCTGGGATAGGTCCTTGTGGACAAGAAATGGTCTTGGGAGTGTGTTCTGGATACCAATGCAGGCTTTCATGACCCATTTAGGGTGCCATACCATATCTGAGGTTTAGGAGAAGTTCTTGCTTAAGATTTAAGAGAAGTCCTGCAGGTAGAACAGGATGGTCTTCCACCCTGATGCCCACAAACCAGGAAAATGGATACCTTTTGAAGATAATCTGCAAGAAGTGAGCAATGAAAAAGACCTGAGCCAGGGAGAATGAGTCAGGGACTTGATTTTCTCCTTTCCTCTCGTTTTTTGGTAATCAAGAGGACCACATTTACTCTGAACAGACTTTGTAGTACCATACCAAAGGCTGTATAGCCCTACAGGGAAAGAGACTTGTGGCCCAAGGAGAGGTCACCAAGCAGGAATGATCCAGAGGAGCATCTGCCGACTTGATTGCTTCTCTGCTGGACCACTTGGGCAATTTGACCTTCTTTTCCTCTTCAAGCCAATACAGCCTGTTATTTCCTGGCTACTTTTTAGCAGATCAAAGTCCTGTCTATTCGGAAGCGAATTCATTTCTTTTTCCCAGCTCAGAGTCTGAAAAAGGCATAAGAATTTGGGGAGACATACAAGAGAGTTGAGGGAACTTCTCCAATATCATTCAAAGTCACCTCTCTTCTATGCCCCACCTACCCACTTTTCAAAAAGATGCCTGTAATTAAATCATAGTAAGTTGGCCTGCTAGCAATTCAACTACCAACCATTTCCCATAGTGCCAGAGCATTCTTCAGAGTTACCACAGAGGCTTTAAAAGAGATCCTGGACTCAATGAGGGGGTCATTCATGTGCTGGTAATCTTAGGAGCCCATGTTGCCATCTTAACTGTTCAGAGTGTCCTTTTTCATTAAATGGTTCTCATCTGACCAGAAGACCTTAGCTGTAAGGAAAATAGGGATGTGACTTGAAGAGTTCTGATTCACCAAATCCATTTCAGTGGTACTAGTAGATCTTGATAAAAAGATAGCAGTGTTTTTCTTTTCCTCACTTCTGCAAATGTTCCTAAAGCACAATTCATCTGTCTCAATTATAATGGCTCATCCCAAATAACCTGGGGAATCACTTCATATATCAGATTGTATGTCATAGAGTGAATAATTAAGGAGGCTTTGCATGTCAAGAAAGAATTTATCCACAATTCTCTCTGGCAGAATTTTACAAGTCATTGGAAAACAATTTATTATAAATAAGTAAAAGTCAGCACACAGTATTACACATCTAAGGTTCCTTGTCCCAGCATGCATGGTTACAACATAAGGTATATGGGAGTCAGTTTGTCCTAATTCAGCCTGAAAAACAATTTCTTCATAACTTCCTTGCTATCAAAAATATTCTAGCAAATTACAAAGTTTGCTCATTATTTTTGATTTTCAATATTCTTAATGTGTCTCCCATTCCTTCAAATTCTAAACATAGATTTAATAGGTCAATTTATTATTTGGTTGACACTGTACTGGATACTTTCTAGTGGTATGCACTAAACCAACCAAATAAATAAGCTTTGTTCTGAGTTT